ACATTTTTATATTTTTTAATTTATTCTACTATTTTGGCTATTACATATTGCCCTTATTTAAACTTTTATCATTTTCTCAGTTATTGAAAGTTACTGCTACTTTATAATATCCACTTATTTCAGTATGTATGCATCAGTGTCAGATATCAAACGTGAAGGTGTTTCACAGTTTAATTTTTTTAAATTTACTTTAGGTCCTGATTATGGGAGAATGGTGGATGGAGGCAGTCCTTGTGCTGGAACAGGGCAGGTGTATCTGTGGGGGAAGTGGTGGACAGCAGCAACCTATTTTGCTAGTATAGATGACCTTCAAACTCTTCTCAATGTGGCAGGCAGAGATTTGGGCTGTGGACCATTGGAATCCCTTGGAGGACCTGAATATTTAAGTTATACTCAAAGCAATGTATTGATAAGTGAACATTTCTGCAACGGATTAGAAACTATATTAATCAATTGTAAGAATAATTACTTTATTGAAGCTCAGATACTTTCCGATGATGCTGGTCAAGTCATTTTCACAGGTAAGAATCACATCATACAATAACTGCATCATGGCAGGAACAGAAATAAGCTGTGGAGCATTAGAATTTTTTGAAGGTCCTGCCTTATATGCAAACCAATATATTGATAACTGAACATTTCTGCATTGGATTAGAATCTAAATTGAGAAATTGCAAAAAAATTACATTATTGAAGTTACATTATAGATGAGGTACTTTTTGAAGAAATCCATCAGTTACATTACATAGGTGGGAATCATATACGATAACTGAATGACAGAGGTTACGTAAAATATCACAGTTTTTATGACAAATATGTATCATTAGTCAACTTTCCTGATTCATTCAGCCATTTCAGTGAAATATGTATCTCTATTTGCATATTCCTATTTGCATGATTCCAAAATAATACAAAATATTCAGTCTTTGCATCCAATTATCATTTCACTGGTCATATCTAGACACTGCAATAGAACTTAACTCCACTTAGACTTCATCTAACAGTGAGCTGTGCATTCTGCAGACACGTAACTGAAAATGTATTTAAGTAAATATAATATTATCGGTTCTCTGCCCGTTTCTCTAATTTCCTCCTGCAATACAAAAACATGTGGTCATGCAAAGTATTTCTTAATTGCCCATAGTGTGTCGTCGTTAGAATGGGTGGATTATGTTTGGGTTCCGTAGGGACAAATCGAGTTCCCCTCCTGGCTGCACTCTGCCTATCAGTGTGTGTGGTATAGAAAAGGCTGTGATCCAACACTGGAGAAATGGTACAGGGAAAATGTATGTAAATGAAAATTTTATTTGCTATATAAATATTATAGATTAAATAGATTGAACAGTATAGAATGGTTGACTGGAGCTGCATCTTTGAGTGACAGGATATGATTAAAAGGAGTTGACATTTTATTTTTTTAACCTTTCAGCCGTTCATGTTTACATTCAGTGTGACACTTGGACTGAGTGTCTGGTTCTGTACCAGCATTGTTAATATCTGAAGTGGCCCAATGTATTACAAAAGTCTGCATTTCTTTACATTGCATCAAGCTGATAATACACAATTTATTTTGCATTAATCGTAAAGTTAGAAATTTTAATGTTGCATCGAAGGTTAATTAAAGTAAATTAATTAAGAGATCGCCCGTGTTTGTAAGGTTTTTCAGAATGGCGACCAGAGACGACTGCTTTCTGCGTAATATTATTAGCAAACAAGTTGTAAACAAGTTCCACGGATGCTAATATTTTATATTACACATAAACCTGAGTATATGGTTCTGTACCAGAATTGTCAATGTTTGAAGTGTCGCAATGTATTACATTAATCTGGTAATATACATTGTATTTTGCTTTAATCATAATGGTGGAAAGTTTAATGTTGAATCAAAGGCTACCTCCATGTCAAAGGTGTTTCACAGTACATTACCAAAAGCAAATTAGCATGTCTGTTTCCATCTCAGGCCATCGAGGGATTCGGCTGATAGGAGGGAGTCACATGTGCTCTGGGAGAGTGGAGATTCAGCACGGAAAAACCTGGGGCTCAGTGTGTGACGCTGACTTTGACTGGCAGGACGCTGAGGTGGTCTGTAGATCACTAGGCTGTGGGGAACCTGCACAGCTGCTGGGGGGAGC